CCAATTATAAAATTGTAGCCATTGGGGAACGTGGCAGGGAGAACACTCCCATGGTTTTCCCTACTCTTCCATGCCAAGAAAGCATGAAGCCGTAAAAGCAATTGCTACCTGCTTTGTCTATTCATAAACTGTAATACTGACAAAAGAACCCAGGGCACACTCAAACTACATAATAGTTGCAAAGGATGTTTATATGTACATTTTAAATATAAATACCTAGAGTGTCTTTTTGGTCTGAAAGGGGGACCATATGTTTAGGTCCTCCCACACTGAGTAAATTTGCAGAATTACAATTCCCATGATAAGCCAATGCTTTTCAAAATAAATGGTGAGGTTAAACCAAGTACTACTTAGAGGCTTCTGAGGGTTGTATTCTCCACGAAGAGCTGAGAATGTGGTTCTGACAAAATGTTTTCACCCCGTACACCACAAACACACGTGCAGTTTTGTATTTGGCTTCTTCTGAGAACTTCTTGTTTCAAGATAGACCTCAAACCAGATACCAGAAGACAACGGTCCCTCCTGCCTGCGTCAGCACATCCTAAACTGATTTGGTGATTCAACAAATGACATTCAGTTCTAGCCTAGAAAAGAATCCTTTCTTTCCTGTATGGTTTCCAGACTTCGTTTCATAAAGTGAAAGAACATGAAAAGCAGCAGAGCAGGGGCCCCAAGGAGTCCCTAGACTTGCAAGTTCAAGTTCTTGTATGCTGCGGACTGAGCTGATCGGCTCACTGCTACACACAGAAACGTGACCACTAAAAGTCAATCTCCACTAGGCCTAATTCATGAACTTTGTGGGGGAAGACCACAAAGCAGGGCTTATTTTTTGTTGCTCTTGTTTATTGAGGTATAATTTCCATGGAGTAAAATTCAATATTTTCAGGTATATGGTTCTCTGGATTTCGACAAACTTAGACAGTCATGTAACCACCATCACAGTCAAAAGCCCCTCACATCAGAAAGTTCCCTTGTGGCCCTTTGTAGCCAATCCCCTCCCTTCACGATCGGCCCTTGGAAAACACCAATCTAATTTCTGTCCCTATTGTTCTGCCTTCTCTAGAAGGTCATGTAAATGGAGTCCTACAGTACATAGCCATTTGTATCTGCATTCTTTCATTTAGCAAAATGCTTTTGAGACTCATCCAGGTTGTTGCATGTATCAGTACTTCATTCCTTCTTATTGATGAATAGTCTTCCATTTATGGATATACGAGAATTTTGTGTATCTATGCACTGTTGAGGACCTTTGGGTTGTTTCTAGCTTTTAATAATGAATAAAGCTATTAAACTTTGCTTATAACTTTTTGAGTGGATATCTTCATTTCTCTTGGAGTGGGACTCCTCGGTTATATAAGTGCACAGTTAACTTTATATGAAACTTTTCCAGAATGGCTGTACCGTTCCCACCAGCAATATATCATAGTTGCAGTTGCTCTGCAATAGATGTTGTCAGTTTCCTTGATTTGAGCTATTTTAATCATAATTCATGGACTTTGGATCTAGGATGAGCCATAAAATTAAACATTCTGCTAGCTACATATACTGGGTTGAATAGCATTCAACCCACCAAATTCACATTCTCCTGGAACCTCAGCATATGACCTTATTTGCAAATAGGATCTTTGCCGCTGTAACTAGTTAAATTTAGATGAAGTCTTACTAGATTAAAGAGGGCCTTATTCCAATGGCTGGTGTCCTCATACAAGGCCATGTGGAGACACAGAGACATACAGAGGAGAACATCATGTGACAGTGGGGGCAGTGATTGGAGCTGCAACAGGCCCAGGAGTGCCAGAACCACTGGAAGCCGGAAGAGACAAGGCAGCATTCTTCCTTAGAGCCTCTGGAGGGAGGGTGGCCCTGCCGACATCTTGATTTCAGACTTCAAGCCTCCAAAGCTGTAAGAGAATAAATTTCTGTTGACCTAAGCCACCCAGTTTGTGGTGCTTTGTTCCAGTAGCCCTAGGAAAATAATATACTATGAATACAATTTGCAAAATCCAGTAATGCAAAGAAGTTTACACAGTTATATTTGACTGACATAAAGCTTTCTGAGAATAAAACATACTAATTGTGTGAAAATATAGTTCTAATTAGTACAAATATATCATTAGCAGCCTAAATTACTAATAGGCATAAAATTACTTGGACTAAATCTTTGAATAACCTGTAATTTAACTCTTCACTCATTGGGTTGAACTTCTGCTAATGAGTCCAAATTAGTGGAGACCTACTGTTTATCAAGAATTAAGGTCAGTCCTGGGGGGTGGGGGAGGGGAAGGGATAAATTAGGAATTTGGGATTAACAGATACACATTATTATATATAAAATAGATAAACAACAAGGACCTACTGTATAGCACAAGGAACTATATTCAATATCTTGTAATAACCTATAATGGACAAGAATCTGAAAAGGGATATTTATATATACATACATACATATATATATATATATGACTGAATCACTGCTGTACACCTGAAACATTGTAAGTCAACTATACATCAATCAAAAAAAAAAAAAAAAGAATTAAGTTCTGTCCAGAACGAGAATCCTGATGGTTCTTAATCTATGGATGTTCGATATGTGAGACCCATATTTTGCAGAATGTTCTATAAAGGATTAAGAGGTAGGCTTTGTTTATTTTAGTTGTTGTGGTGGAATATATTACAACCTTAAAGATTTTTAAAACTGTGAAATAATTTGCTCATTTTCCCTACCACATGGTATAGACTAGTTTTGAAAACAAAACGTCTGTGGCAGAGCCAGTCTTGGCTATTTAGTTAAAAAAAAAAGATCCTATTCCAGTTTTATCACAAACCTCTTCCAGCTCCTGAGGAAGAAAATAATTCAGCTCTCCAACCCCTATTAGGCAGGCAGAGGGACCCCCATCTCCAGCCCAAAACCCATGAAAGAAGTTGATTCTTCTGTTACACCATTATTCAGAAAAATATTACTAGCTCAATGATTACATATATTAATTCAATAATATAAAACAAAGGAATAGCTACAGTCAACAGGTTGTGGCTTAGGCGACCATAACTGGCTGAGTAGTGATTGCATTTGGACAGAAATCAAGGTAACAGGGAGGACAGAAGGGCTGGTACAGATGTGGAAGCAGGAATTCCATGTTTTTACAATCATTCCTGTAGCTGTACTATGTAAGCCAGATTGTTTTTACCATTAGAGACATAAGTTATATAACAAGCCTGCCAGCTGACACTAGATGTCATTATATGGGGATCTGGGCAGTGTCTCTGGCACTCGCTGGCCCCCTCATGCATCATTTTCCGTGCTGTGCACTGTGGTTAACAGCTGCACCATGCCTGTTTCACAGGGGTGGGTCGTGAATACAATCGTGTCTTCCACAAAAAGTTTGCAGAGTCAGGCAGTGTCATCTGAACAGAGTCCAACAATGCTCAGCGAGACAGGCCTGTTTTCACTGCTCTGCTCTCTAATCAGCATATGCTGTTCTCTGACTGTTTTGGGAGAACATAGGGGGGCCTATTCTAGGGGGACAAAGACATAATCCCGGGCCACCCCATTCCAAGTTGAGGCAATTTCAAAGGACAGGGCTCTGGGGACTTGGAACAACCTGTACAACTTCATTGTCACTGGGTCTGGGTAAACAGAGACACCGGCTTCCCTCTTAATCCCCATCCCACACGTGGAAAACCATAAACTCAAGTCACCACAAATAAAAGGCCATGGAAGAGTGCCCAGACGCCCCTGGGGATGGTATGATGCATTTGGAAGGAAGCCATTGGGGCAGGGACTGTCCCTCTATGAGAAGATGAGAGAAAGAGAAAAAACAAGGACCAAAATGTTTGCCTCATTTAATTAAACATCAGCGGGCCTGTCATTCATCTTACAGTCCCCGTATACCAGACAGGGGATGGGAGCCCTGGAGGGGGCCCAGAGCTACTGGCTTTGCTCTCCATTTGAACGGCTTAAGCTGTTGAAGCTTAAGTTGTGACAACCAAGCAGATATTACTGCCCATTGCATGGTGGTCAGAATTAGGCCTGGGAATTCTGTAGATGGACAAATTCAGAGGAGCTCAAAGTCACTGCTACAATTTATGATAAATATAGTTGGGACCAAACTGGCAAACTGTGCACATGCCTGCACTCCCTCTGACCTAAAAATACCACTGATTACAAAAACACCTGAAAAATTAATCCACTGTGGTAAGGGAGCAGAAGAAAGAAGGCCAAAGAAGACTTCCTGAAAGAGGCATCAGACCTTAAGTTCAGCTTTATTGCATATTTGGAAACAAAGCTAGGAGCAGAGTGTGGCCCTGGATGCACCCATGTTGTTCAGTCTCTCACCCTGTGTAAATTAGCCCGATTGGGAAACCGGCTTGGTGTAATATGTGCATTCTTAGGTGCCACACTATTGCAGATCCCTCAGAGACCTGACATTGCCAAAACCTGGACAATAAACATTGGGGCTGCAGAGCTCACTAAATTAAATCCTTTTAAATTAGATTTTGCATCGTCCTATCGACATCCTGGGATGCTCAGGTGTTCCTCGGAGTAAAGTCCAGGGTATGGTGCCACCCATTTGTGGTAAGAAAACAAAACAAAAAAATGGGATAGCGCACTATGATCTCTCTGCATCACTGACTACAGGCACAACTGCCCGTCTAGAACAGGCACAGCGCATAAAGGTTTCGTGACCCGGCAGAGAAGACCTTAGCGAGCGCCCGGCGCCTTCGCCTCCCCGCCCTCGGGCCTCCCGGCCGGGTCCACGCCTCCCCGAGCTCCCCCGGCTCCCGCCCTATCCACCCTCCGAACCCCACAGCGCCCGCCCCGCTCGCGCTGATTGACAGGCGGGACAACGATCCCAGGAGCCCGGCTTTTGCTCCGCAACCCCAGCAGGAACCGTCCCACTGTAGCCAATGGGAGCCAAGAGGCGGGGCCTGCGTCGGGCCTGCAGTGCTGGTCAGGTGCTCCGCGCTGAGGTGGCTTAGAGGTGAGGGACTGCAGGTTCTGGGGGGGGGGGTGCCCCTTGCTGCCGCCGCCTCCCCGCTATTGCCCCCGGTGTGCGGGAGGGAGCCCCCTCCAGGCCCTCCCTCCCATTGCCCCAAGCAGATGTGGACTGAGCGGATCGCCGCGAGGGTAAGAGTCCGGGAGTGTGGGAGGCTGGTCTGCCGGGGACCCACCCGCCTCCTGCGGGCTCCCCAAACTACCCTCCCACCCATTTCCACTGCACACATACCCAGAGCACATTAGGGCATCTGCCAGCCTTGGTGGGCGGGAGGTTTGCGAATTGGAAACGTACCCTACCTCGAGATCCTTCCAGGAGCTAGGATGGAATCCCGGTGAAGAAGATGGGGCGATGCATCACCCTCCTCTTGATGTATATTCGCTCTACACACACCTACTCCTCCTTCAGTGTCCTTCCTCTCGTTTCTTGGCGCCCCGTCCCTCCAGATTTCCAAGGCTGTCTGTGGGGGAAGGGTTGGAGGGGAGGAGGAACTGGAATGCAGCTCAGTGAAATCTGGGCCCAGAACTAGGGATTCCACTGCGCAGTGCAGCATTTTGTGTGTGGAGAAGAAATCAGATCTCCTTTCATCCCTACCCCCACTTCCCAGTTTGTTGCTTTATGTCATCGATGTGATGATGTTGTCTTACCAAACATTCCTAAGCTTGAGGCAACACTTAGCCTTTGTTTATTTTCATTTGTCCCAGGAAAGCAGTTCTTTCCTGCTTACCACAGTTGCTGAATTAATTTATTAAAATAGAGGAAAATCAGATGTTTCATATAGTTGATTCTTTTTTTAGCCTTAAATTGCATTTGGTTCATAGTATCCTTCCTTGTGTTAGGAAGGTGAAGGAGAGAGAGAGGAAAGGATCACCGTTCTTAGCCAGAAATGTTAATAAGTATATTTGCAGTTCCTTGTGGGAACTGCTTATTCATGTTCCTTCCAGGTTTGGAAAGTTTATTGCTGTTTGAGAAATAGTTTTTAAATTTAATTTTTGAACCATTGTCTGGAGACCAATACCTAAAACAATTTCAGTTTAAGCAACAATTTCAGTTGTAGGTATGCTGAAATCAATTAAAAAACAAAACAGAATTCTTGCCCCTGACAGCAAAGCAAGCATGCCAAGCAGTTTTTATTTACCTGCACTTACAGCAAGGCAAGACAGGGTCTAATTTTGAGGTTTAAATATGTCTTCAGCATATTCAAATTAGGAAGATGTCAAAAGCTGAATTTGATTGCTTTTTTTAATATCTATTTATTTATCTATTTATTTATTTTGGGGGCCGCGTTGAGTCTTTGTTGCTGTGCGTGGGCTTTCTGGAGTTGCGGCGAGCGGGGGCTACTCTTTGTTGCTGTGCACAGGCTTCTCATTGCAGTGGCTTCTCTTGTGGCGGAGCACGGGCTGTAGGCATGCGGGCTTCAGTAGTTGTGGCTCACGGGCTCTAGAGGCTCAGTAGTTGTGGCGCACGGGCTTAGCTGCTCTGTGGCATGTGGGATCTTCCCGGACCAGGGATCGAACCCGTGTCCCCTGCATTGGCAGGCGGATTCTTAACCACTGCGCCACCAGGGAAGTCTCTCAAGAGATTTCTTGACACAAAATATGGTTAGATCCAGGTTTCGGTGGGCTTATAAATACCTTCATGCAAGAATGGACAGCAGAGGGAGAGAACAAAAGATCCTTACTGGATTTGCAAACCCAGTGGGAACTGACCAAATTTACCTACGTAATGTTTTTTCATATTATCTCTTATTAGCTTTCTTGAATAGAATAAAAGCTTTTTAGAAATATAGGCGGATTACCAACGACAATAACAACAACCTTGATCCCAAGAGATAATTTAATCCTGGGAAGTGCCTTTTCTACACACATCACGGATAAGATTAAATGTTGATGAATTTTAATATTAGGAAGGTCAACATCAAGTTTTAGAATTATGTTTCAGTTTATACTTAGTTCATAATCTAATTGTTTTGTTTAAAGAAGGCTATGCTTTGATTGTTAATACATGAATGCAAATTACATTTCGCAAATATATTTGAATGTCACAAATTTTGTCACTTCAGGATACCAAGTTAATCTATTTTCTCCTCTCTCTCATGACATCTCTCACATCTCTTACCATGATGGACCAGACACAAGGCCTTGCCTTTGAAAAACAGAGGTGTACACATGTACTTTTAAAAAGTATTATTTTTAAATTTGCTAGTGCAAAGTTGCTTGTTGCTAGGTCCCTATAGCCCATCTAACCATAATGATAAATATGTCCACAGGTATTTGACTATATAAATGTTTCTGACCAGGAGTCAGAAGTCTGAGTCAACCTGAAAATGTTTCTGAAAAGTTGTATGTAAATTATATCATCTTTTAAAATGATATTTGAGGAGCTTATTTATATAATTTCTTTGAGGAATGTTTCAGTAAATTCTTGGAAACTAAAACAGTTTCTAAAATGCAGATATAATTTTTAGCTTTATTTACACAGGGAGCCACAGGTCTTTTGTTTAAGATGAAGCTCTGCAGCATAATCCTTCCAGGCTGTGATTTATGATGTAACAGGGATTACTAAGCACCATCCCTCTCCATTTTGGGTGAAGTATACAAAACAAAATTATTGCCATTAACTTCTATATATTTCTTAAACAGATTGTCTTACACTGAACTGATCAAGTACTTTGAAAATGACTTCAAAACTTCTCTGGGTGTCCTTCATACTTGCTGCATTGACACTTTCAATTACATTTTCTCTCCAACCAGACCAGCCAAAGGTTCTACTAGTTTCATTTGATGGATTCCGTTGGGATTACTTATACAGAGTTCCAACACCTCATTTTCATCATGTTAAAGAATATGGTGTCCACGTGAAGCAAGTTACTAATATTTTTATTACAAAGACCTACCCTAACCATTATACTTTGGTAACTGGCCTCTTTGCTGAGAATCATGGCATTGTGGCAAATGACATGTTTGATCCTGTTCTGAACAAATCTTTCTCCTTGGATAATATGAACATTTATGATTCTGAGTTTTGGGAAGAAGCGATGCCGATATGGATCACAAATCAGAGGGCAGGACATACGAGTGGTGCAGCCATGTGGCCCGGAACAGATGTCAAAATACATAAAAGCTTTCCTACTTACTATATGCTTTACAATGAGTCCGTTTCATTTGAAGAGAGAGTTGCCAAAATTATTGAATGGTTTACATCGAAACAGCCCATCAATCTTGGTCTTCTCTATTGGGAAGAACCTGATGACATGGGCCACCTTTTGGGACCAGACAGCCCACTCATGGGGCCTGTCATTTCAGATATTGACCAGAGGTTAGGGTATCTCATACGAATGCTGAAAAAGGCAAAGTTGTGGAACATTCTGAACCTAATCATCACAAGTGATCACGGAATGACGCAGTGTTCTGAGGAAAGGATCATAGAGCTTGACCAGTATCTGGATAAAGACCACTATACCCTGATTGACCAGTCGCCGGTGGCAGCCATCTTGCCCAAAGAAGGTAAGTCTGAACTGACTGGTGGTCTGGGGCCTGGTCTGCATGTGCCCAGTGCGATTGAGTGGGGGATTTTTGTTTCTGTGTCTTTCAAGTGTGCTTGCCTTTGTCATGGTAATATTCTGGGATTTAATCCTTAGTCTCTGAAAAGACAAACTCTCTTTTCTCAGAGTCTGATTTTTCACTTTTTCCTAGAATATTAAAACTGATACTCTCTCTACGTACTTATGGTAGTCGCATTTAACCTTTTTGGAGTCATTGGATATTGTGAAAGCTACAGCCTCCATTCTCAGAGAAATTGAGATAGGAAGATATATACAAAATGTGCCTGCAGTTAACAGTGACTTTATGGAAGCCCTAAAGCCTTCAGTGGATCCTTAGTTAGGACCCGCTTAATAGGGAAGCAGTGGGGTATAGGAAGGAGACAGTTTCGGTCGTCCTGAGATTTAGTTTTCTTATCTGTAAACAGGGGAAGTAGTAACAGTACCTCAAACTTTTTACAAACCTCTCCTGGAAGCCTCATACCAACTCTGTCTCTCGTTATTTCTGTTTTAAAGATAGGTGAACAAGCTCAAAAGGTTTAACATCCCCAGGTCAAAAGCTAAGTGCAGAGCAAGACTCAGATTTGCAACTCCTGACGTTTGTTTTACCACCTCCTGGGGTTAGTCTAGGTATCCAATGAGAAAACAGATCTTGAAAAGCTGAAGAGCTCGCAAATGAGAGTTAGATCCCTCGCAGGGGAATTAAGAGGATCAGTGGGAAACAGTGAATGTTAAAATAGGCACGTGCAGCGGCACACAAACATTTCTACCAATTCAATACAAAACAGCAATCTTCTGTGGTTAAGAAAATTGCATTAACCCTTCAGTTCCCCTGATCAAGTTGGTATGGTGTTCCCTTGTTGGCAGGGAGGAAGCCCCAACAAATGGATTTGAAAAACAAGAAAAGGATGAAAGATATTGCCCAGGTTTACTGCGTTTGAAGTTACAGGGAGTACTTCTGCAACGCCTCCAGGGTTTCAAAGAACGTTTGACCAACCCTCACCCTCCACTTTACGAATTTTCTCGTCTTGAGATTCTCTATTTCTGTACTCAGAACTACCAGAACTTAGCTCTTTGGTTTTGTTTTGATGTTGCAGTGCCCTTGACATTTTACTTTGTGCCACCACTTAGTACCTGTATGTGTGTGTGTGTGTGTGTGTGTGTTTAATCTTTAGGGATTAGAGATTTCTGGTTCTATAAAATGTCTTCTCTTAAGGTGAATTTACTTTAAGAGAAGATTATTTCTCAGTTTCCCCCACAAGATGATTTCCTCAAAGGGGATGGGAGTTCTAAAGTGTCTGGTGAGGCTTCATTACCTTGAACTTGCTGGCTGTCTACGTCAGTAGGATGTCTGCGTTGACTGACCTGTGTTGCCATGGTTGTTTCTTTGGCTGTAGCAGTGAGTGTCTTGTTCTGACTGCCTCTCCTCATCCTTCTCTTTTAGGCAGATTTGATGAAGTCTATGAAGCACTAGCTCATGCTCACCCTAATCTGACTGTTTACAAAAAAGAAGAGATTCCAGACAGATGGCATTACAAATACAACAGTCGAATTCAGCCAATTCTTGCAGTGGCTGACAAAGGGTGGTATATTTTACGGAATAAGTCAGATGACTTTCTGTGTGAGTATGTTATAGTATTTCTCCCCATTCTGCATCGTTGTCTGCTAAAGTGGAGGCTAAGTGGGAGTTGTTTCTGCCGTATTCAACAGTTTATCGATTGAATAACTAGCTAGTGTCACACATTGATAGCTAAATAAAGATCCAATAAAGATCCCAATAAAGATTTATTGGGGCTTTAAAATGAGGTAACCTCCTAAAAGTGGAACATTTACTTCTCTTGAAGCCTTCAGACCAAAGAAAAGCACAGTGCCCTGTACTGCTTATTATAACCATTATGTTCCGGAGGAAGACCTAACTGAATTTTATAAATTGAATCATTTTCTGCATCTGTTTTATACTCTGATTTCAAAAGAGTTTAATCTCTATTTTTCAGTTGCTAGCTTTCTAGTTTCTTTTGCACTTCTGGCTCTACCAAATATAGGCCAGCTTTGCTTTACACCTTGGAAACATTTCTAAAAATAAGTGCATATTGGCATGGATAAAAATATATCAAGATATATTTTCCTAATGAGTATCTAGTGGTATAATTTTGGAGATATTTCCATTGAATAAATTTAGAATATAATGTAAATCCTATTTAAAATTAAAGCATGCAAAATAAAGAGCTTCCTGCTATCCTTTTTTTTTTAAATTTATTTTTGGCCACACCATGCAGCTTGTGGGATCTTAGCTCCCCACCCAGGGATCGAACCCGCGCCCCCTGCACTGGAAGCGCAGAGTCTTAACCACTGGACCACCATGGAGGTCCTCCTGCTATCCTTTTTTTTTTTTTTTTTTTTTTGCGGTACGCGGGCCTCTCACTGTTGTGGCCTCTCCCGTTGCGGAGCACAGGCTCCAGACACGCAGGCTCAGCGGCCATGGCTCACGGGCCCAGCCGCTCCGCGGCATGTGGGATCTTCCCGGACTGGGGCACGAACCCGTGTCCCCTGCATCGGCAGGCAGACTCCCAACCACTGCGCCACCAGGGAAGCCCAGTAGGGGCTAATTTGCTAGTCCTTCTCACCACCTTTAAAAATAAAGCCTTTCAGTTTTCTTTGGTTGCCGTCTCATCAGCAGTAGCACCCTGATATTATGCTAGACGTACATGCCCTTAAAAGGCAGCTTTTCGCAAAAGTAGAGACACAGATGTAGAGAACAAACGTATGGACACCAAGGGGGGAAAAGTAGTGGGCGGGGGGGGGCGGCGGTGGGATGAATTGGGAGATTGGGATTGACATATATACACTAATATGTATAAAATGGATACCTAATAACCTGCTGTATAAAAAAATAAAATAAAATTCAAAAAAATAATAAAAATTAAAGGCAGCTTTTATTATGCAGGAGTTTTCATCCTTTAATTTTGTATCATCTTCTGACTTGACAAGTCAGGAGACTCCTCAAGTTTTTACTTTGTAGCCACACGAAAGCACACAGTGCTAAGTTGGATCCTGATCTGAACCACCAAAGTCAAGATTTTACCCACAAGTCTTGACTTTTTTGATAGCAGATTGTAACTGTAGCTAGAAGTTTGATTTTTGTGGTGTCTTTTGTTTTCCTTATTTTCCTCCTTTGATTGGTAATTATGAATTTATTGGCTTCATGACTAAGAGCACCTTTATCCCTTTATCTTTAGAACAAGCTGGAACATAGTAGGTACCTCACAAGTATGTGTTGAATATTAGTTTACCTGCCACGAAAAAAATATCACTTTCATGTTCCCCTGACTTGCCTCAGCTTTGCTCTTTCCCCTTCTTCCTGTGCTGGTGAAGGTGGTGTTGCCTGGAGAGAAAGATTTGTGATCATTTGACTTTTCGTTTCCTGAAGTGAATTGTGGTGTTGACAACAGCAGAGATTATTTGTAAAAGATCCTTTTATTTAAAAGTCAAATTAGAAGGGCTTCCCTGGTTGCGCAGTGGTTGAGAGTCCGCCTGCCGATGCGGGGGACACGGGTTCGTGCCCTGGTCCGGGAGGATCCCATATGCCATGGAGCGGCTGGGCCCGTGAGCCATGGCCGCTGAGCCTGCGCGTCTGGAGCCTGTGCTCCACAACGGGAGAGGCCACAGCAGTGAGAGGCCCGCGTACCGCAAAGGAAAAAAAAAAAAAAAAAGTCAAATTAGATAAAATTTGCATTTAAGTTCACAATTTGATGATACAATTATTTCCATTTTAATACCATATGGTTGGCTAACTTGTTCATGCATTTTGTCTTCACAGTAGGCAACCACGGTTATGATAATGCATTAGCAGAAATGCATCCCATGTTTTTAGCCCACGGTCCTGCCTTCCGAAAGAATTTCACAAAAGAGGCCATGAACTCAACAGATCTGTACCCCCTGCTCTGCCACCTCCTCAATATCACTGCGGTGCCACACAACGGATCACTCAGGAACGTCCAGGATCTGCTCAGTTCACCAACTCCAAGAGCAAGTCCTTATACACAGAGCCCTCCTCTCCTCCATGGTAGTGTCAAACCAAGAGAAAATGAACAAGAGGAGCCATATGCTTATTTCATAGGGGTCTCTCTCGGTAGCATTATAGTTATTGTGTTTTTAATAATTTTCATTAAACATTTAATTCGCAGTCAAATACCTGCCTTACCAGATTTTCAGGCTGAAATATCTCAACCATTATTACAAGCCTAATGCTCCTTTGATGTGGAGATTGCATAGTTATGTCAGTGTTTAAAGGTTTCAAATTCTAGGAAACCAGCTTCAAACATTTGCACAGACCATTAAGCAGTTACGTACATATGCAGAGGCAGTCATACACACACACACACACACACACACACACACACACTCATGCACATGGACCAAAATACACATACCTGCAAAGGATGAAAGATGGGGAAATATGTTTCCATTGTCCTCTCTGGCTTCTGGTAGGTAAGATCCTGCTTTATTTGGACTTGGCACATACAATGTATATATTTAACAACTTTGCACTATTTGAAGTACCTTACATATTGCACTTTAAATTACTCTCCTAATGGGTACATTAATGTGAAATGCACTTTATTGACAATTACGTCTGATAACTCGGTTGAAAAAGACAACTTTTGCACCCATGTCCCAGAATACCTGTTATTCCTTGTTCAAACGGAATGAAATTTCTAATAATTCCTGAATACTGTAGAAATCTATCTATCTTCTTAAATTGGGAGAGCATGAAGAAAGTGAAAACTGTTGAAAATGAAATGTGATGACCTTTGAACACTGAATTTTGGAGAGATGCATTCCCAACAGCAGGGTGCATCTGTGGGCACTCCTTGTCGTATTTCTTTGCAATGGACATGGGTTTTCATTTAATTTTTCCCCCCAAAAAGAGATCCAAATACTGACGGATTCATTCCAGGTATGTTGTTTCCATCGTGAAATTCATTATTGCTGTTTCCTGATTAGTCATTTTACTCTGATTTTAATAGTAAGACACCATGAGACCTCTACTCTGTAGGCTTGAAAAAAAAATAATAAGACACCATGAATATACATTTCTTTTCTCTCGAGTCTAGCACTGGTCTGACTAGAAGGCATCAGGCACCATCTCAGCAATATTTTCTCTTGCTCTGTAATTATTTGCTTCCTTGAAAACGAAATCACTATTAATCGCATTACAAAATCAGATTAGATAAAACAATGTTTTCTTTCTGGTAATCTGTAGTGACAGAGCACAAGCATCTTTTAGATTTCAGCATGTGAAGGTCCAGAATTGCAAGAGAGCACAAACTACATTAGGGAAAATGTAGGCCACGCAATCCTTGAAAAGAACTGTGTGGAGCTTGGGGGAAAAAAAATTAGACAGAAACTTGGGGAAAAAAATTAGGCAGGGCCATTGTTGTTTGCAGTGTACCCAGGACAATGCTAAAGGGTGCCTGGTGGCAAAAAATAGTGAAACTCCTAGAGGTAACAGGCAATTGAAACAAGAGGAGCTGAGACTATAGCCTTGTTTCCTGAAATATCTGAATATCCACTCACCAAATGCTCAGTGGACTCAAAGATGAATCCAGGTTCACAAATAGACTTGACCTCCTGGGTAGGTTTTGTCACCTGCCTGTTCACCTGAGCTTCCCATTCCCTCCCATGGAAAGATGTGCCTTAGATCTCTTAAGTAGGCTGGTTAGGGAGAGGGTAGTGTTACCTATGGTTTCTTAGAGGAAAGAGAAAGCCCTGGAAAGAATAGCTTTCCTTGAAGAAAATAGAAACCAGTTTATAGACACGTGGCCCATAGAAAATACTGTGATTCTGTGTATATTTATGCACCAACTCGCTAAAAGTAGGTAAAGTGGTAAATGTATTCCAGAAAGGATAAACTAGATGTAAAGAACAAAAGTGGCATAGTGAAAAATATAATTGAAGTGCTTCCTAAAATCAGGTGAATGAATTATTTTTATTTTATTTTTTTTGTGGTACGTGGGCCTCTCACCGTTGTGGCCTCTCCCGCTGCGGAGCACAGGCTCCGGACGCGCAGGCTCAGCGGCCATGGATCACGGGCCCAGCCGCTCTGCGGCATGTGGGATCTTCCCGGACCGGGGCACGAACCCACGTCCCCTGCATCGGCAGGCGGACTCTCGACCACTAGCGCCACCAGGGAAGCCCGAATGAATTATTTTTAAATGATGATACCAGTAAACAGTGTTAGCACTTAATTCTCATGTCATCAATACAACCTCTAAATGGGATAGAATGGAATCGCTGGAAATGGACTATAGATGAAAAAGCTGAGACGTGGGATGGTAGATAGCAGACTCCTCAAGAGGTCTGAACTCCGGATTAGACATTTTACAACATGTGACCACTCCGTGTTGGCTTGCTTTGTAGCGATGAACTTATCTGCGTTATTGAGATGCCAATCTAATGACTGAAAGATGAAACTGGTCTATTTAAAAGCATTATTATTCAAGTGCTCTCTGTGTATTTAAACTAATTGTTGCATTAAATTCATTTTAGAGGGTGCTATTACCTTAGTAGTAAGAAGAGAGTAGATTCTGTAACACTGATGAAATCATGAAAATTCTGATACGAAGATTTGATTATTGAATGGTTTCCTTTATCTGCAGATACTTATTTTCCTGTAAATGTCAGCAGGAGAGCTTACCTGAAGGAAAATAAAATTTTAAACTTTGCTGGGGAAGTATCTAGTCACTCATCATTTTTCGATAGTTTCGTTGTTGTTTTGGTTTTATCTGCATGTCTCTGTGGTCAAACTTTGTATGCAGTCAACACAAATGAGCACATAGAAAAAACATGTAGACCAGCTAACCTTCCTAAGTAAGTAAGAACTTTTAAAAGGTCCCAGGAGTGGAATCCCCCCCTCACAACACTGACATGTTTGCTCTACATCCTCTATCGGCCATTTTGAAGTTGATTAGTTGATACGATTTTTCGTGTTCAGCATGTATTTTGCAATGTCTTCTCCCTTTGCCACCTGCCATTTAAGTTGCAAATTGCTTTTCAAAATGCTTTCTGTCCTCTTAAGTAAAATTAGGATCGATTCTATTATTAGTTTCAGTTTCTTACAAGAACCTATTTCTAGAAAATCTATAGTTTTCTTTTTTTGATGCTATTTTTATCAGGTTTGATATCAATGTTATATTCCCCTCAAAAACTCATGCTTTTTTTTCTACAACACTAGTTTTATGAAGCAAATATAACAGGGATAATCAAACCCAACCAAGGGGCACTAGAAAAGATCACTGTTTTGGGGGCCTGAAACTTTTTTGTAGAATAGTTTATACTTTCTCAATCTTTAAGAAATTGGTTTTAATTTTCTTTCTCTATTGGAATCAATTTTATTCAGTAAATCTGGCATCCAAACTTCAGGAAGCGCAGGGCCTGGGAAATGGTTCTGGATCCAAGGATCTTAGCCCAGGAGTCAAACCATGAGGAGACAAAAGTAATTTGTTAGTATAAAGTTTTACCACTTTTGAAATGCTACAGAACTCTCTTCCAAAGTAAAGTGCCTTTTTTTTTGTTTTCCCACAGTTCCTAGAAGTATTCAATGAACGTCAAAAGAGGAAATTAATCACTGCTCTATTAGAGGAAACTTTGTTGAATCTATATTAGAAAAGACATTAAATACTCTGGCTATGTACAAAACAAAGTTTAAATACTGTAATCCCGCCCTCACCCTGAGTGTTTTGTAATCGCCTTTTTTCAAACTTCTTCCTGTCTACTGTAAGTCAATAAATTATAGTTCTAGAAACTCTGCAAAATTTATCTTGGCTTTCTTTCCAGTGATGTCCTTATGTTGGATTGCATATTTATACACTGCTTTAAAAATTTGGTTAAATGTTACAAACTTAATCCTGGTTTTAAAAAAATTGTAATGAATGCCTAGGTGGATTTTGCAGTATTACTAAGTCATGTCAACATCTATCACAGTATGTATATTTTGCGAGAAGGTGACAAATTAAAAAATCATCAATGACATCACATTGTATATTGAATAATTGTGGTTAAAATGTTTTGGTAGATTTTATTCACATAAAATTTAAAATCATAACGAAGTCATAACTATGAATTCAGACAATATGGTCAAAATATATTTAACTTAAGGCACTACACACAAATTTCTTTAAAGCACACTCATGTCATTTATTTACATAGTATTTTAGGAATTTACAATAAATACACATTTCCCATCTCATCTTTGTCCTTCATTTGTAGCTTTATATACTCACAATGAAGTAAAAACCTCCAAATAAAAGGTATTAAATGCAATTATCCTTAAAGCTTACCAGATATGGGCAAGAGAAGGAAATACCCAAGAACAAGGCAAAGTTTTTTTTAATCCTTTAATGTTCCAAGTATCTTTCAATTCTTATACCAAGCTTAATGGAACAGTAACAAAACCAGTGGTACAGAGCATTGAAATCATTCTTATTCTATTGCTGTTTACCAGAAAAACTTGCACATTAAGAATAGCAGCAGAACTGTCCCTACATTTACATAAGTAAATGTACTTATTCTGAATTCACTCACTGAATTAACAAACTTACTAAAAAGTTTTCCTATTACCTTTGAGTATTGTTGTCATAAACAGTTAAATCTTTCCTGGAGCCAAATACTTTCTACCACCCAGAAAACACAGAAGCGTATTAGTCAATTATTTAACAAAATACACACCAAGTGAAAAGGGCTGGCTTTACTGAAATATTTTCTCAGTGTACTAGAGGAGTCATTGGCTTTAAGTGATCATTTTTAAATATACAACTGAATTAACATAAAGTTCAATATAATAATATATAAACGTCTCTTTGATTAAATACTCTTCTTGTCCCATCAACATATACATAAAACATTTACAACTTTAATTCAAGTTAGTATTTTGAGAATGGAATAAAGAGCAAGACAAATAATAGGTCTTTTGTTCAAAGGGCTGAGACACTGATGGGGCATCCCTTCCTATTCCATCCTCCATAAAATCCACTCACAGGCTGGATGCTATGGACCGATTTCTGAAACTCATAACTGCCAATCAAGCCAGTACAACCACTAAAGCTCACACCACTGCAAAGACCAAGCTCTCCTCAATCAGTATTTGAGACATTTCAAAAAAACGCTCACTGCTTTAAATGTGACTGTTCTCCTGTCTTTTTTTTTTTTTAATGGAAATGGAAGTAGAAAGAAATTTTTCTGTTATTTTGTTCAGATCAACTATTAACCTTTAGGATAACTTTTATGTGAGGCAAAAACATCAGAAATAAAATCTGTCAAAAAGCAAAATGAGCCCTGGTGGTTTTATTTATTTATTATGCTGTCCTTAATACAGTCACCTATGACTGCATGCATGGACTATTCATGCAGGGTGTAGAAGTGCTTCTCAAGAACCCCAAGTACAATAGGCACCAGATACCAGGATCAGGAGATCAGCAGTGACCACAGGATGAATTACATTTGATGACTGGCACCACTGTTCTTGACCACCACGGATAATCAGCATTTAAGTGGGCTGCATGTTTACTGTAGATTATCTTTGTGTCTGTAAAACAGTTCCCTAGCTTACTTTATATTGTCAAAACTTTAAAGATCGCACTAGTAATATTAACTGCTTGCCTCAGCTGCTCAATTTTTCCTCTAACAGATGGAATCTCGTCTGCCACAATTCAGTTTCTTCCTACTAATTATGATTGTTAGAAGGTACCACTTAGCAAAGCTAGGATAACAGTTATTCACAACAAATCCTTCGCTCTGAACAAGTATGTTTTAAAAAATGTGAGCGGAGTGGTTATTTCTATGAACCAAATATGGGAGAAAAACGCAGAGGCAGCGTTCAGGCTACTGAAGGTTAACAGAGTCCTGAGAGTTTCTTCAGCCACTTAACATATGATTCATGTAAAAGATCAAAAGATACTAAATTCCATTTTAAATTTAGCTACCCTATAGCCTAAAAAGTAAGGCATAAAATTCCCAAAGGTAAATAGAAAAATCTCTTTTCCTCATTCTGACCCAATCAAAACCAGATTTGTATCAGGTCATACATTTCTCAGCAGCACCTGGAGACCTCTGGTTACAAAAAACAACATGAGAAAGTTAAAAATGGTAACAAAAATTAATGAATTTTTAAAAATTATGATTTTACCTTGTGAGTTAGAAGAAAGTACACGAAAGTGAAGTGCAGTTATAACCTTTCCTGAGAGCTGGGTTCTATGGGGATGTTGGAGGCTGCTCCCAGGCCACTCACCTCCCACCACCTGCTGTAAGTCACACAAAGTCTGTACACACGTACATGCAACACACTGGTACGTACATACACACAACTAAATAACTTACACAAAGGCATTGAGTACAAAGTGAGAAAAGCACGTTTCCCTATTTTCTTAATTTCTTCTTAGCAATACTCTTCAAAAGGTTTAACTTTTGAGGCTTCAATAGCTTAAGGGTCTTAACAAAGACACACTGGTGAAGAAGACTTAGGCTTTGTATCACGGGGTCTTTGCTTGTTTTTTATAATAGTTTTTCTTAAAATAATTTCTTCATATGCTAGATCTTTTCTGCCTGCTTGATCCATTTTAATTAACCATCACAGAGAATTTCCTACCTCAAGGGTTTACTTGGGATACAAACTCTATTAAAGGCACATATAAAAATATAGGAAAGTTTTCCTTCCTGATACACAAAATCCACACATTTTACAAAGATTTCTGTTGTATAATTTACAAATGTAAAAATTTATTCAAAAAGCATACCCACTAAATTTTTGCATATTTTCATCTATAGATGTGTCTAATCTTTGTTGCAAAAAAAAAAAAAGGGCAAAGGCAGTATTTTTCTTAAAAAAAACCTTTCTAGTTAGGGAAACAGTTGGTGTTAACTAATGATTTACTAGCAATTTTTTCTACGGTCAGAGTTTTTTGTATTAGCTAATGCCGCAAAACAAAACACAAGGAAAAACAAAATAATTGTAGCATGCTTGGTCTAAGATCTTTGTCTTTCAAAGTATACTTTTTCATAGTTGTGACACCATTCCTTGGGTGTGTCCTAATCACAGCCACTTTGTATAAACCCCAGCACATGTCACCCAATTAAAGGATCATCGTCATCATCTTGTAGCTGAAGTCGGGAAAACGGCCGGGGTCCAGAGAGTCTATTCTGCATGATTATGATGAGGCAGGTCAGAGTGGTTAAGACCAAGAGCGCACCGATAACAATTCCTATGGCTTCTGGGAGATTAATGCACCACTGGTCCACTAACAAACACTTAGTGTGACCGAAGGTTCCATTATTGGGATGTGGCTTTAATCCCAGGATGTGGCACATCATTGGGTAAATATCCACAATGTTAATGGTGCTGTGCTGGTAGCCTTTGTGAAATGCAGGACCGTGGGCAGCTAGAAATGGATTCATACTAGGCAAAGAATTATCATAACCATGGTCACCTACTGGAAAAGAACAAGATGACGTCAGTAAATAAGAGCAGCTTTTCTACTACAAAATGACTTGCTTCTCGTGTAAATACACTGGATTCTTGCCAGTGTCATTCCCATTAAAATTCTGATTAGTTGGGCCAAACAGCTGCCAGAAGTACAACCTTCTGTTTCCTTCAAGTCACAGCCACGTCATCCATTTCACACACACACCAGCCCCACCTCTTCTCGATCGGTCATGACCTCAGGCTTTAACACTCCCTCTCAGTCCCAGCCCCACGTATTTCACCTGCCAGTGTCCAGCACTGTTTGCGCAAGCCCGCTGCAAACAGCACCAGTGATAAAAAGAGTGGTCGGCCTGAGGGTCCTGAGTAACTGGAGAGAGCAGAAGTGAGTAAAACCAGTGAGTGGCAAGGAAGTGAGCCTGAAGCCTGACCTATGTCAGCTGCTCCTGGACAAGACACAGGATGTGGGACACACCACTGGTCTACTGACAGCTAATGGACACCTCAACACCTGGAGGGCCAGGGGACTGAGCACGTTACGGAAGGGATTCTTGCCTTGAATGTGAAGTCTAACCTGGTGACTCCAACTTGTAACTCTAGTAAAAGTCTAACTCAAAGAAAAACCTGATGGTCCCTGATATCATTCCAATACCAGATTCTCAAGCTTTTGCTTTATTTTTTAAAATATTGCCTTTTAATGCAGACCAGTTACATTTAATAAGCTCCTACTTCCATATGAAGTGCAGGTGACTAAGTGATGAGTGTATCAGTGTTACATATTCTTTAATCGTATGTTTGAAATATTTCATAAGAAAAACAACCCACGTGACCAATACAATAAAAAGCACAATATAACATTATATATAGGTATTATGATTTCAGTAATATAAATGAATGATTATAATGTGAATAATATAAACCATATGATTTAATAATAAAAATATGCATTTGTATGTAACAGAGAAAAAGATTAGAAGGAGGAAAACACCCACAATTAACATCTGACTGTACTTCTGTATTGAAGGATTATGGATAGTTTTTGTTCTCTTTTCTGAACTTTTCTGTATTTTCCAAGTTTTCAATAATTAGTATACAACATAAGTATCAATAATATATCAACTCTAATGGCCCTCAGTCTCATCCTTGCCTGATGCGTCTGAACTGCTATAGATCAGGGATCTGCAGACTACAGCACCTGGCCAAATTTAGCCCTCCGCCTGTTTCTGTAAAGGAAGCTTCACTGGAACACCCCATGTCAGTTTGTTTATGTATTGCCTGTGGCTGCTTTCCCACTATAAAGGTAGGATTGAGTAGTTGAGACAGAGACCAGCTGTCCCACCAAGCCTAAAATATTTACTATTTGGCTTTTTACAGAAAAATTTTCTGACACCTGCTATGGTTTACAAAATCAGATTTTTGAAAAATGTACTTGAATTGAATTTTCCGTATGGGTGAAAAGCTGTAATTCTCCCCTATACATTTCTTCAGTGTGAGGAGAGATTTTGATCCATCTGTTCTGTTTACTTGGTCGATTTTGTTTGCGTACTTTCTGGCTCTTGCCCAGCGTTCTAACTAGCTGTGGCGCTCAGGTGGACAATTTCATCACTGGGAAAGACTTAAGGTTACTTGGACAAATTTTTTTAACACAAAAAAAGAAAAAAGGATTTGAACTAGCTAATCTCTCCCCCTTCACTTTGTTTCTTGACTTCTCTCTCTTTTATTTTCTTTGTTTCTTTACTACTCTCTTATTTTTACAAATCAAGAGAACCAGCCTTGAAAGTTACTGACAGTAACTGAAGTTTTTGTAAAAAAGTAAAACTACTCCTTCACCCTTAAGATCACCCAACCTTCTAATCTAAGGATGAAACTGTGGTTTCTAAAAATTGCTCTCAGATGAAAACCTGAGAATCACCTTGTTGAAAATCAAACTAATTATACTGTGTGAACATCTCTAAATCAAAGTATCCTGTTAATGGAACAATGTCCCAATGTGTGATTTATCCCTAGGATACAAAAGAAAAATTCTAAATAAATACTTACATTTTGGTGATGATTTATTTAGCACAATTGTCCAGCCTTCATCAGCAATCAAAATAATAGGTTGAATTCGATCATTATGTTGGTAATGAAACCTGGCAGGAATGTCTTCTTTGAGATAAACATTCATGTGAGGGTCACAGACTTTCAGTTTGTTATAAACCTTTGTTCTGTCTGGAAGAAAAGGAAACAGCAAAGAAAAAGTCATGTTGACTGATAAGGAAAAAATATTTCTAACTAGAATAACTGGAAATAAGTCCTGAACAATGTTATCTATTAAAGCCCTTTAATCATTAAAAAAACAGAGCAATAATAATGATGTAACAGTGTTGGGGACACGGACACGGACACACACACACACACACACACACACACACACACACACACACACCCCTTTCCAAGCATTCACGTATCTCTCTTTTCATTTTGTGATTATCCCTGGTGGACTTTTTTTTTTTTTTTTAAACATCTTTATAGGGGTATAATTGCTTTACAATGGTGTGTTAGTTTCTCCTTTATAACAAAGTGAATCAGTTATACATATACATATGGTCCCATATGTCTTCCCTCTTGCATCTCCCTCCCTCCCACCCTCCCTATCCCACCCCTCCAGGCGGTCACAAAGCACCGAGCCAATATCCCTGTGCCATGCGGCTGCTTCCCACTAGCTATCTACCTTACGTTTGTTAGTGTGTATATGTCCATGCCTCTCTCTCACCCTGTCACAGCTCACCCTTCCCCCTCCCCATATCCTCAAGTCCGTTCTCCAGTAGGTCTGCGTCTTTATTCCTGTCTTAACCCTAGGTTCTTCATGACATTTTTTTTTCTTAAATTCCATATATATGTGTTAGCATACGGTATTTGTCTTTTTCTTTCTGACTTACTTCACTCTGTATGACAGACTCTAGGTCTATCCACCTCATTACAAATAGCTCAATTTCATTTCTTTTTACGGCTGAGTAATATTCCATTGTATATATGTGCCACATCTTCTTTATCCATTCATCCGATGATGGGCACTTAGGTTGTTTCCATCTCCGGGCTATTGTAAATAGAGCTGCAATGAACATTTTGGTACATGACTCTTTTTGAATTTTGGTTTTCTCAGGGTATATGCCCAGTAGTGGGACTGCTGGGTCATATGGTAGTTCTATTTGTAGTTTTTTAAGGAACCTCCATACTGTTCTCCATAGTGGCTGAACCAATTCACATTCCCACCTGGTGGACTTTTATACAAAGAGGACAAACTTCACATCTAGCTTCCTAAGTAAATATAAACTAATTACATATTACTGTTAATTACTAATTCTAAGATCAGTAGACGAAAGGTATATCTCACACAAAGGTCCAAGATGTTTTTTAAGGATAAAAATTTCCTTTTTCCACTAGTGTGAATAAGTAAGAAATATATCAACAAGGACCTACTGTATAGCACAGGGAACTATATTCAATATCTTATAATGACCTATAATGGAAAAGAATCTGAAAAAGAATATATATATATATATATATATATATATATATATATATATATGTAAAACTGCATTTCCTTGCTGTACACCAGAAACCTTATAAATCAACTATACTTCAATAAAAAAATAAAAATTAAAAAAAAGAAATACATCAAAAAGCAAGGAGGGACTTCCCTGCTGACGCAGTGGTTGGGAATCTGCCTGCCAATGCAGGGGACACGGATTAGGAGCCCTGGTCTGGGAAGATCTCACATGCTGCGGAGCAACTAAGCCTGTGCGCCACAACTACTGAGCCTGTGCTCTAGAGCCCGCAAGCCACAACTACTGAGCCCGCGTGCCACAACTACTGAGCCCATGTGCCTAGAGCCCGTGCTCCGCAACAAGAGAAGCCACCGCAGTGAGAAGACTGCACACTGCAATGAAGAGTAGCCCCCGCTCGCCGCAACTAGAGAAAGCCTGCATGCAGCAACGAAGACCCAACGCAGCCAAAAATAAATTAATTAATTAACTTAAAGAAAAAAAAGCAAAGAAATAATTCCTTTGAACCTAAACCTTAAGCTAATTGCCTAAAAACTTATACATCAGGGGAAAAACATAATCCCACTCTGCGTGAGTATAGGAGTGTATGGCTGTGAACTACAAAAAGCCTGAGCTTCATTCTTTTACAAAACCCTTCCTCCTCAATCAACTGCCCCATTCAAATATTCCTTGGCTGAAAGTTTACTTACTTATTTTGGGAAGTATTGCAGCAACGGGGGTCAAGTCTACAAGAGTGTAGTCTGAGGGGTCGATGCAGCGATCCAAGTTTATCAGCTTGTCCTCAGAACACTGGGTCATTCCATGATCACTTGTAATGATTACATTAAGATCTTCCCACAGTCCTAACACCTTGAGTTTGTGAACTAGCTCACCGATATGGTCATCTATTTCTTTCAACACTCGGCGCATGTTTTCTTTATCTTCAGGGCCATATTTGTGGCCACTTGCGTCTGGCTCTTCCCAATAGAGTGTTGCAAAGGTGACAGGTGGGTTCGAATTGCTCAGCCACGTGGAGACATTACTGAGTCTCTCCTCAAATGACACTGAGGGGCTGTAATTCATGAAATAGGAAGGTGTGGTATTGTGAATGGGCACGTCGGTACCAGGCCACATAGCAGCAGCACTCGATCTGTTTTCCTGAAGCTGATTGGTTACCCAAATAGGGACTGCCTCATTCCACCAAAAAGGATCCTTGTCATTAATGTCAGAAAAATGCTTCTTTGTGATGACATCATACATGGAATTAGCCACAATGCCATGGCTTTCTTCATACAGGCCTGTCACGATGCTGTAGTGGTTTGGAAATGTTTTTGTGATAAAGGCATTTTTAACCTGCTCTACCAAGACACCTTCTTTGATAAAATTCTGGAGATGAGGAAATTCATAGTTGTGTAGATAGTCAGCTCTGAAGCCATCAAAGGATACCAGTAGTAACTTGGGTGGCAAAGTACAGGAAGAGTTCCCTCTACAACCAGTTGTAAGTCCAGAAAACAAACATATCAACAATAACTTCATAGTGAACATGCTGAAGGAGGGTAGTCAGGGTTCCTAAAATATAAAAACACAATTCATAAGTAGTAATGCTATTTGAGTTGGATTAGGTTTCAAAAGTTTAGTCATCAGGAGAAGAAAACCAACATTTATAAACTTTTTATACACCAGCTTTACCTACATCAACTTGAAAATTAAATAATGTCACTTACTGAGAGATAACTGAATAAAGATAAAGTGGGAAAAAATAAAAATTGCCTTTACTTGTCCAGTTGTATGTCCTGCCCCATTTTTCATGCTCTGAAGGGGATATGGGTCATTCTTGTGCTCCATACCAATGGGCTGCCTTGTTTGTTTGCAGCAGCAAAAGTTATTCTAAAGGTTTAATAAGAACAAACGAAGAAACAAAAACAATCCTTTTGCACAAAACAGAAATAACGCCAAGCTTTCAGAGGCTCCAGGGAGGGCGATTATTTTTCTAGTTTAATGACTGGTACCCTATAGTTCCTTTTAATCCACAGAAATAGGGGGTGGAAACTCTACCATACTGGCTCATCATTAGTTCCTGTTGAAAAATACTGGCATGAAAAAGGGGAGTAAGTAATAAATATTACTTGAGGAAAAGGTCCCACCTCAATCCGAACCTGCCCAGTATTCACAGGAGGCTGACAAACAGACAAAGCCTACAGGAACTTGGATGCCACGGTAATTTCTGAAGAAATGCAACAGCTGTTGAAATGCATTTCATCACCACATCCCTTTTAAACTTCCTTTTTACTGTCAAAGACATACAGTTGGCCCTCCATATCCACGGGTTTTACATCCATGGATTCAACCAACCGTGGATGGAAAATCCAGAAGGCTGACTGTATTCATGTACTATTGCCGCGTTATATAAGAGACTTGAGCATCTGCGGCTTTTGGTATCTGCTGGGGCTCCTGGAACCAGTCTCCCTGCGGATAATGAGGGGCCACTGTAACCATCCTGCCTAACACCCTAAGCTCAGAGAGCTCCCTGACTTTTTGGTTCTTTTTTTAACTATCTACTGATTACAAAAAAACAGATTTCCCCAAACAAATCTCCCTACCTTCAGACTCTATCTTCTTTGGTTCCTAAGAAAAATAGGAGATGTCATTTAGGTAGAGTGAGTCTCCACTGCTGCCGTACTTCTTTTTTTTTTATTATTTTTTAATTTTTTTGCCACGCCAAGAGGCCTGTGGGATCTTAGTTCCCTGACCAGGGATTGAACCTGTGCCCTCTGCATTGGAAGTGCAGAGTCTTAACCACTGGACCGCCAGGTAAGTCCCCTGCCACACTTCTTCAAGTCCCCAGGAACTCCTGTCCAGAGCCCTTCCATCTCTTAACTGACCTTCCTACCTCGATCACCTTCCCCTTACTCACCCAACATCCGCTCCCAACTTAACCTTCCCAGGAATAGCCCTGTCCATGACACTTCCTTAATAAAATCAGTATTCAAAGTCCCCCAGCCTATACAGAAACACCTCTGCCTGGCATTCAAGTCCCTCCATTATCCAGGCACAACTCACGTGCAAATTACTATGAAACAGTTACAGAAATCATGGTCAACCTTAATTCCCTTTTACCACACATTGCTGTCACAGTCTGTCTGAGATGTATTACAGAGACAATAATCGTTTATCTAGGTGACCTATAGGTGACCTATAACAGCTCTTCAGTAATAATTTGTGTTTCTAAACCTCTTAAAGTTACTTTCTACACATGAATTCTTTGCCCAAATACTCTCTTAGGTCAATAAAAAAAATCATTCAATAAATAATATAACTGAAGTCTATAACACCAAAATTTATGTATGTGCCATTTTTCAGAGGACAAGGGCTTTATACTTTTCAAACATAAAATACTCAAAATAGGGGCATAAATAATCAAAACAACGAATCTGGCTGTCATCTTGGAAGAACAAAGATGAACTTGAATGAACTCTGTTCTACAACACCACAATTTCTTGTAATGCTGCGCTTGAGACCCATACATCATAAAGCACTGTTTTCAAAACTAAGCCCTTTGAGGAATCATGTCACGGTATGTCTAAAACTTTTCCAACGGAGTTCCTCTAAGAGCAGAGGGGTGACGAGACAACTGTATATCCACATGCAAAAGAATGAATTTGGACCCCTCAGCTCACACCATGTACAAAAATAAACTCAAAATGACCAAGATTAAGAGCTAAAACTATAAAACTCTTAGCAGAAAATATAGGAATAAGTCTTCATGACCTTGAGTTAGGCAAAGCCTTCTAAGATACAGCCTCAAAAGCACAAGTGACAAAAATCATAAATAAATAAATTGGACTTCACCAAAATTGAAAGCTTTTCCATTTCAAAGGATATAATAGAGAGAAAAGAAAACCCACGGAACGGGAGACAATATTTGCAAATCATATATCTGATAAAGGATTTATATCTAGAATATATAAAGAACTGTAACAACTCTAAAAGTTAAATAATCCAATTAAAAAATGAGCAAAGGATCTGAAAAGATATTTCTCCAGATATAGAGATGGCAAATAAGCCAATGAAATTATGTTCAACATCATTAGTCATCAGGGAAATGCAAATCAAAACCACAATGAGATACCCCTTCACACCCACTGGGATGGATATAATAAAAAAGATAATAACAAGTGTTGGCAAGGATGTAGAGAAACTAGAACTTTTATACACTGCTGGTGAGAAAGAAAATGGTACAGGCACTTGAAAAACATTCTGGTAGTTCTTCAAAAGTTTAAACAGAGTTACCGTACGACCCAGAAAATCTACTAGTAGGCATATGCCTCAGAGAAATTAAAACACAAGTCAATGATAAAACTTGTACACAAATGATCACAGCAGTATTATCTGTAAGAGCCATGAAATGGAAACATCTCAAATGTCCGTAAGTGATAAATGGATAAGATGTGGTATATCCATACAATGGAATATTATTTGGCAATAAAAAGGAATGAAGTGCAAATATATGTTATTACTTGGATAAACCTTTGAAACATTGTGTTAAGTAAAAAAAAAGGCAGTCACAAAAGATCACTTATTGTATGATTCTATTTAGATGAAATGCCTAGATAGGCAAATCTATAGAGATGGAAAGTATATTAGATTTGTCTGGAGCAAGGGGTTGAGGAGAAATGAGGAGTAAATGCTAATGGGTACCAGGTTTCTTTTGGGGGTGATGAAAATGTTCTCAAATTGACTGTGGTGATGGTTGCACAATTCATAAAAATGTACACTTTAAATGAGTAAACTAGACAGTATGTGAATTTTACCTCAATAAAACCATTATATTAAAAAAAAAGAGTAGAGAGAAATGAAATTGTAATCTTAAAAGCATCTGGATTGTCCTGCCACAAAACAGGAAACATCTCTGATGTTTCATCTTACCTCAAAAATTATGTGAAATGTGTACTCTATACCACAGACCTGAGTTTTTTAACGTGAATGTGTTTCACCTCATTTCCCATGTGCAAAACAATAAAACAAAAACCTGTGTCCGCCCCTCTCTTACACAAAATACATACAAATCAAAATCTTTCTTCCCCAAATCTTGAGTGAATAGGAGGGTCAAGGCACATGTGCCGTTTACCCTGTGGTTCACTAACCCCTTAGCACACTGCTGGATTCTTGTCCCCAGACTTAGAAGCACAGACAAAGTGGAAAGATTAGAGGCTCTGAAATCAGAAGGATCCCAGAACTTGAGCTCACATTTAGTAGACGGTCGACTGTGGGCAGATCTACCAGCTTCCGTTTCTGTGTTTGTAAAATGCGGATACATAAAGTGTTAAACAATAGGCCCTCAAATTTAGTCTCTTTTTTATCCACAGTTACAAAGCTGTTATGTTAGGAAAAAAGTCTGTACCGTAACAGGCAGAATGATACTATTGTGAAACTATAGAGTAGATAGAAATAATTTAGGCTAACCTCTTCTTTTACACAGGATGAAGATGGAGTCCCTGGATTGGCCAAACTCAGGAAGCAATTTGTAGCCTTACTGTCTGTACTGTTACTAATTTCAGGTCCTTAACAAGTTTATAAATCTAGTAACAGCGAGTTTACAAGTCTAGTTTTAATCTCCAAACTATGAACGGGACTTTTCCTGCTTTCATTAATGGTGCCTGTATCTATGTCTACTGCATTCTGTTTCATCCCAACAGGAGTGTTAAGCTATAAACAAAACACCAGTGAGAAGTTCTCAAGTATTTCCAAGGAATAAAAAAATCACTAATTGCTATATTACAAAGCACTGGGAGAAATTCTGTAATTTTTCAAACCAAAAAGATATCAAAGGGAAGGAAAAAAAGCAGTCACCGGAACTACACCCAGATAATCCCAACCGAAGTTGTGTGTAGTTTTCTTCAATTCAGGGGCCAAAACACACTCTCCCTCATCTGGGATGACTTTCTTACTTGGATGAAACATATCTCGGGCAATTCTCACTGGCATTCTTAGCTGAAATTGGGGGAGTGTGATAGTCAAAGGATATGATGAAAGCTATTTGCCACCATTAGCATGCCATCTGCTCTGTAATACAAAAGCCTTATTCTAAACACTTCACAAATACTATTTACAATGAAACTCTTACCCAGCTTTAAAATAAAATAGCACTGTCTATGCACATAGATAACATTGGTGGTTTTCCCTAGATTATTATTAATTTTCTTGATATTCTAAAGAAAAACTAAAACTACTCTCTGAAAGACTCTATTTCTTAACAGCTCTAGGATTCTAAAGTATTCTTCAATTTTCCAGCACATACAAACTTTTACGGCATCTTCAAAACAGCTATACTTAGTCTTACTTTCTACATATATTATTTCTTTCTACAAAATAACTCCTTGTGTACTTCTTCTGTGTTCATCGAATTTCTCCCAAATTATATTTTGTAGCTGATTTAAAAGCAGGGAGGAGATATTTATATTTTATACTTTTTAGTTATAAAGTATCTCCTCCCTGCTTTTAAATTCGTTTAATTTCCTTAAAATAGCTTGGAACAAGCTCTGGAAAAAACGAAGAAAGAAAAGAAAACCGGAATATTAAAAGGAGCAGTTGACTTTCTATAGTACTGGCAAGGTTTCCAGCTTGGGTCCACCAGATGCCCTGGTGGTTAAAGAAGAAACCCTAGTGGAGTCAAGGCTGGTATAAACCTGAATCGGCTCGTGGTCACTAGCTGTGCTTCACGTCTCTGAGCAGGACTTTCCCCATCTGTATAATGGGACGCTGTGATCTCACAGGGTTGCAGTGCCCAGAAAAGGAAGCGTTATTTGTAAAATGCTTAACACAGTGTCCGGCCGATAAAAAGCACTTCAGTGTTACCTTTCTTGTTAGGTTTTCTAGGAAATTCGTTTTTAAATTTGGCTGTGTCACTCCCATCAACTCTAATCGAATACTCAGGCGGAGGTAGGTCGATCGATACCTTGGACCGCGTTCCTGTAAAATCAAACGCCCGCCCCCTCGGCCACCACCTCTGTCCCGCCACCGCCCCCCGCCTCCACCCCATACCCCACCGTCCGCCCAGGCCGCGCCTACCTGCTCAGTTTCCTTTCCTCTTCCCACCCCGCCCTCCGCCGCCCCCAGCCAAGTACCTCCCGGCCGCTCCGGGGTCCCTCGCGGCAGTTCGCTAGAGGGATGTGTGTGTGTGTGTGTGTGTGTGTGTGTATCAAGGGTAGGGGATCTCACCACCTCTATTTTCAAAGCCCCTAGTGGACGGGGGAGGGGGTGGCATTTCCCTCCGGAACGCCGGGCGCGCTAGGCTCACACTCACCCGCTGCCGCCGCTTCTCTGCAGCACGAGGAACCCGGCGCGCGCGGAACCCGGCGCTCCTGGGTCTTGGGAGCGACGGAGACCTGAAGGCGCAGGAGCCAGACCGAGCTCTTCCTGAGGCGCCTGCGCACTAACGGGCGCCCCCTGTTAACAGCCCCTTCGTCCCTGAGATTCGCGCTACCCGAGGCGTTCCGAGGGTGCTCGGATGCCGCGCGCGCGACTGCGGAACAGTTTTACAGCTCGTGGGGACTCAGCGGGCGACGGAGTGTGACACATGTCCTCGGATTGGACACCTCAGCCGCCGTCGATGTAACTCCTTTTCCGATTGGTTGGATTCAGGTACAACCTGGAGACAGAGGGGTTGGGGGGGTCGAGTTGGATCTAGTAGGAGAGGTTAGTTCCACTCTCCTGCCACGCCCCATCTTCTAGTGTCCCAGGGCTGGTTGCCCTTCAGGGGACCTGAAACACAGCGAGTCCCTGAAAGGGCACCTGGCTATTGTCAGCCTCAGGCTTACTGACATTGTCCGTTCACCCCTAGTTAACACGCACCTGGCGGTAAGGTGTCTGCAGGAAAAACGACTTTGGCAGCCCCAGGGCCCAGCACGAGTCTAGAGCAGCTTTAGCCAGTTCCAGTTAGTTGGGAAAAATACAGTGTGTCTCTACCAAAGCAGTATGTGTCCGTGTTGCTGGAGAAGTGATCACCGTATTACACGCGAATTGAGTACTAGGCAGTTTATGAGTAAGGTTGCAAGAAATACAGAAACACGGTTCTTGCAGTAGGGAACTAGGAACGGCTACCAGCTGAGAAATGGGCGTTTCTTTTTAACACATGCGTGTGGGTCTGGAGCTTTAGTGTAGAGCCATTACCAAGACCCCAGAGTCTGGAAGCAGCTGCAGAGACAATCTGGGGCTGGATATTTTCTGTTGATTATTAGTTTGTACCTTCAGAAGTTAATTCCAGTTTCAAAGCTCAAGGCTGGCCTGTGCACTGGTGAATTGGGGCATCTTAGATCCATCCGTGGGCTGCCAGAGCTGGAAGGAGTGGCAGAGGCCACGCTGTCCAGTCCCTGCGATCTGCCAGACCTGAGTTTGAATCCTCACTCAGCAGCTGAGCAATCCTGGGCCAGTATCTCCGCCTGTTTGAGCCTCCATGCCCTCATCTGCAAAACAGGCCCCCTTACAGTACTAGCCTCTTCGGGTTATTATCAAAAAATGAGATAAAACAGTAAAGTACTCAGCACACGTGCTAAGTGTCAGTGATTGTTACTGCTATGACCAGAAAAATGTTCCTCGACGTGAACGATGGTCAGGGGAAAGGTGAGCTCTGGGGGAAATTACATGACATACAGCTGAGTTAAATTTAAACGTCCTGGCATTTGGGGCGTGAGATTATGCATGTCCCGTTTGTTCATTCACTGGGTACATGACTGCATAAAGAGTAGACAGAAACTGGCTGCCGTATAGGTCAGGTGGTGATGGAGACAGCTGCTGTATGGGCATCAGGAGAGAAGAGCTCCCTTCATTCACTGTCCCTGCCCCTGCCCATGTGACTGGGTCAGATCAGGGAGTCCTATGCAGCCTGGTCTCCTCTGTAAGATAACGTGGTCAAGAACAGAGGACAGAATGATTCATAAGGATCTTTTTGTCCCAAGCATCTGTTATCCTACAAATATTTCCTATGTCAACCACAAATGAAAATCTATTTCAGATGCTTAAATAATAAGGATATTTCTTATCTCACAAAACAGGAAGTCCAGAGGTAGGGCAGGCTTCAGAACTGGTTGAATTAGCAGCTCAACAATGTCACTGTGTCCTGAGTTCTTTCTAACTCCTCATGGAGCTATTAACAGAATTGGCTTCTGGTTCCTCTAGTGGTAAAGATAAACAGTAGCAGCAGGGATCATATGATTCATTTTTCACTTCCTCTGGGTAATGGACATGACTTCTTAGTTTTTTTGTTTTTTGTGTTTGGCTCCAGCAACTATCTCCTTCAGTCAGTCTACAATTGTGTCATATGCCCAAACCTAAGCCAGCATATGAAATTCAGCAGACCAATTCAGTCTGCGCTTCGAGCTGAGTTCTCTTTCCCAAGCTGCACTTCTTCTGTCAATGGAAGTGAGGTGTAGTGGGTGCTGGGAAGGCCACCAGAGAGTCCACTATAGGGTCATTGGAAGCATTTAATTATAATAAAAGAAAACATAACAGTAACAAATTCTCCATTTCCAGTGTGATTTTTCTGATATATTCCTTTATATAGATAGACAAAATAATAACGTTCATTTATAATTTTCTTTCAGCTCAGCTTTTGAAAAAGGAATTTCATATAAATCTTAGAAATAGGGATGAAATTTAAGCCCATTTTTGTGTTGGAGATTGAAATGAACTAGGAGCTATTGTCTAAATCCGTCATGTACAAATGAATGTGGTGCCCCAGAGAGAACCGACTTGGCTAAATTCACACAAACTAATTACAACTAGAGTCTTTGCCTCCATGGCCAATGTCAAGTTTGGAAGCAGCATGTTAGAGGGAGTATCTTTTTCCCCCCATTAAGTAGACTCAAGACTTAGCATTTATTCATTAGTGTAAAATATTTAAAATGTTTTATCCTGTTTTCAAAATCAACGGCATAGCTCTTCATGCAGTTATTTTTCTTTTAAACTCCTAATTGGGATGCATCACTCATTGCTGGCAGGAATGGGTCAGAAGCTAGAAATTACAGGAAAAAAGTTTCACAAGGGAAGTCACACCCTGCCCCAAGAAAAACAATTCCTGTCCACTGCTCAGTCTGGTGTAACGACAAAACTGAAACTAGTGAATCAAATTTCAAGTCGAAAGGAATGTATTTTAAGTTTCACTTTTTAATATATACTAGATGTTAATGTAAAGAAAACATAATAGAGGTTTTCTCTTAAATATGATGGGGAAAGGACCTTAGGAATCATAGTACTTTAATAATTTTGAAAGTTTAACACAAACTCTGCACCCACCCCATTTTCAGCAAGATTGCATTTCAATAATCTCAATCAAATAAGACTATAAACTATTTTAAGTGCTCATGTTAAAAGTGATCCTGTATTATCCATCATGAACTACTTAGTGTTAGACATTCTTCCCTCTACAGGAATTTTTTAAAGTATTTAATAAAGTTGTGCAAGAAATAGGAGAAATTCTTTTGAGGCCCTCCTATGTGGAAGGCAGTGTGCTAAATTTTAGGAAAGATGCAAAAATAAGTAAGATTCAATCACTGTCCTCAAGGTACCTCTAATCCAGAAAGGCACATGGAGAAGATATTACTTTGTTACTTGGCCTTCCCAGAATCCATTTCCCCTTCTGGGGGTTCCTCCAGAAAACCATCCCACCTTCACTCCTAGTCGCGAGAGTCTTTTGGGGCTGACAACACTCCCCTCTTCTCCGGCATGGACTTCTTTAGGGCAAATTTTGACCTAAATTGAGGGGTTTCCTGGGGCATGGGACTTCTAGTGCCGAAACCAGAAAAGTCCCAGACAAATTGTGATGAGCTGGTTACACTTAACTCAGACCCAAGCCCGGCCTATTCGAGCAAATTCTGCTTCCTTGACCAGAGGAATTAGTTCTGTGATGGGTGGTGGGGACACGCCCCAGGCCAGACTAAAGAGATTCAATCCTGAAACATTTGTTGAAACAATAGAGAGTCAGTCTTTCAGCAGGAGCAGCTAACTAAATAAGTAGAATACAGGCATCCCTCATTTTACTGCCCTTCACAGATACTGCGTTTTTTAACACATTGAAGGTTTGTGGCAACCCTGCATCGAGCAACTCTATCAGCACCATTTTCCCAACAGCATTTGCTCACTTTGTGTCTCTGTGTCACATTTTGGCAATTCTTACAGTATTTCAAACTTTTACATCATGATTATACTTGTTATGGTGATCTGTGATCAGTGACCTTTGATGTTACTCTTGTAATTGTTTGGGGGCACCACAAACTGCTCCCATGTAGGACAGCACATTCAATCAACAAAAGCTGTGTGTGTTCTGACTGCTCTACCAACCAGCTGTTCCCCCATCTCTCTTTCTCTCCTCGCACCTCCGTATTCCCTGAGACACAACAATATTGAAATTAGGCTAATTAATAACCCTACAGTGACCTCTGAGTGTTCATATGAAAGGAGGATTCCCATGTCCCTCACTTTAAATCAGAAGCTAGAAATGATTAGTCTCAGTGAGGAAGGCACGCTGAAAACCAAGGTAGGCTGAAAGGGAGGCCTCTTGTGCCAAACAGCCAAGGTGTGAAAGCAAAGGAAAAGTTCTTAAAGGAAGTTAAAAGTGCTGCTCCGGTGAACACGTGAATGATAAGAAAGTGAAATAGCCTTAACGCTGATACGGAAAAAGTGTTAGCGGTCTGGATAGAAGATTAAACCAGCCACAGCATTCCCTTAAACCAAAGCCTGATCCAGAGCAAGGCCCTAACTCTGTTCAATTCTATGAAAGCTAAGAGAGATAAGGAAGCTGCAGAAGAAATGTTTGAAGCTAGCAGGGCTGGTTCATGAGGTTTAAGGAAAGAATCTTTTTCCATAACATAAAAATGCAAGGTGAAGCAGCAAGTAGCGATGTAGAAGCTGCAGCAAGTTATCCAAAAGATCCAGCTAAGATAATTAACGAAGGCGGTTACATTAAACAACAGATTTTCAATGTAAATGCAACAGCCTTCTATTGAAAGAAGATGGCATCTAGGACTTTCATAGCTGGAGAGGAGCAGTCAATGCCTGACTTCAAAACTTCAAAGGACAGGCTGACTTTCTTGCTAGGGGCTAATGCCGCTGGTGACTTTAAGTTGAAGCCAGAGCTCATTTACCATTCCAAAAATCCTAGGGCCCTTCAGAATTATGCAAAATCTACTCTGCCTGTGCTCTATAAATTGAACAGCAAAACCTGGATGACAGCACATCTGTTAAAAATATGGTGTACTGAATATCTTAAGCCTACTCTTGAGAGCAACTGCTCAGGAAAAAATACTTCTTTCAAAATGTTCCTACTTATTGATGATGAAGTGAATGAAGGGAGCCCTTCTCTCCTGATGCCCATACAGCAGCTGTCTCCATCACCACCTGACCTATACGGCAGCCAGTTTCTGTCTACTCTTTATGCAGTCTTGTACCCAGTGAATGAACAAACGGGACATGCATAATCTCACGCCCCAAATGCCA